TGGTGGCGGGGATGTTGGAGGAGAGGAGCAGCACCGGGAAGCAGACCGCCAGCAGGATCGCCAACACCAGGCCCGGCCGGAGGGTTCTGGTTGGGGAGGGGGGGGGGGGAGAAGGGAGAGGAAGCTGATATTACATGAGAAATGCCTATGTTTATAAATGTTCTAATATTTTAGAAGCTGATATTAGATGAAAAATACTTAGGTTTATGAATGTTCAAATATTTTAGATGCAGATATTAGATGAGAAATGCTTATGTTTACAAATGTTCTAATGTTTTAGAAGCTGATATTACATGAGAAATGCTTATCTTCACAAACGTTCAAATATTTAAGATGCTGATATGAGATAGGAAACATTTATGTTTACAAATGTTCAAATATTTTAGATGAAATGTTGATATTTTCAATTTCACATTCATAAATAATACATCTTATCAACATAAATTTAACCTTAATATGTTCATGTTATTAATATGTTATGTAATAATACTTTAGTACATCATATTTCATATCACATTAGTATGTTTTGTATTCATACTAGTACATCATATTTCATTTTCTTGTACTAAATATTAACATATGTTGTTATCATTCTCTGAATCGATTTACTGCAATTGCTCCAGTGTCATGCCATCTCATTTACTAATCTGTCAATCGTTAATTAGAGTAACGACTGTTTGCGGGCGTGACGTCACCGTTGCTTGTGGTATAGGTAGATGGGTAGTTGTCTTGGTAGGCCTATAGGCACGATAATTAGGCGGAGGAGCGTGGTTACTGATATTTGTTATAATTAAAACTATAAGGTATGTTCTATATATAATGATTTGTGGTTAATTTGTATATAGGATAAGTGAATTAGGTTGATTGAATATAATGAAAATGAGCGAGTAAATCGTGAACATTATAGACCTATGCATTTCTTTCGTATTTTTTTCTTTACCGTGTATTTATTTTGTGTATTTTATATCTCGTATAATAAATACTAAATAGTATTACGTCTTTCCGTGCCATCCATCAAGTGCAAAATCCTCTCATTAAAAAACGGTGTCTTAACTCTCTCTATAATAATCAACATTCTCACATCCAGCTGATAATGTTCTTGGCGTAATCATCATTATCATTCCGATCTTAATTATATACATTATCATCATCATTATCATTACTTTTATCATTATCATTATTGTTGTAATAGTTGTACTATAGTATTATAGTAGTAGTAGTAGTATTGTCATTTTCATTATTATCATTACTATTACAATTATTATTATTACTATTACCATTATTATGTCACTATAATTATTGCTATTGTTACTATTATCATTACTACTATTTTTACTAGTATTATTATTATCATAATCATCCTCATCATCATTATCCTTATGATTTTCAATGTTACTAATATTACTACTTTTATTATCATTATCATTATCATTAATATTATTATCATCATCATTATTATTATATTATCAAATTGTTCTTATTATAATTCTTATCAATATTATTATTATCATTATTATTGTTGCTAATGATGATATTATCATTACCTTTATTATCATCATTATCAATATTATCATCATTATCATTATCATTACCACTATTATCATTATTTGTATTACTTTTATTATGATTATTGTTATCATCATCATCACTATTGTCATTAGTAGTAGTAGTAGTAGTAGTAATATAATCATTGTTATTATTACAATCTTTATCATTATTATTTTCATCATTATCATTATCATTATCATTACTGTTATTGTTATCATTATCATTACTATTATTAATAATATTACCATTACTATTGTTGTTAATATTATCATAATTATTATTATTATTTTTATCATTACTATTAATGTTATCCTTATCACTTCAATAATTGGTATTATCAATATCATTATCATTATTATCACTATTATTATTATCATCATCATCATTATCCTTGCTATCATTATCATTATTATCATCATCAATGTTATTATTATTATTATTATTATCATGATTATTACCATTATCATTACCATCATAATTATTACTATTATTATTGGTACGATAATTTTCATTATCGTCACATTATTATTACTATCATCATGATAATGATGATAATAGTAATAATCATTATCATGATTATCATTATCATTATTATTATAATTAGTAATATTATAATTTTTATTATCATTATCAGAGTCATTATTATTTTTACTATTATTGCCATATTTATCGTTACTATACTATTATCCATATTATTATTACCATTATTATTACTATCATCTTTGTTCACTGTTATTTTCATCATTATTATTACTGTCTGGAGTACTGTCAATATTTTTTTTACTATTTTCAACAGTGATTATCATTATCATTAATATCACTATTATAATTGCTATTACGATTATTTTCACCATTATCATAATGATTATCATTGATATTATCATCATTCTTATCATGATGTTATCATTATTATAAATAGTAGTGTTATTACTCTCATTATTCTTATAATTATCATTATCACTTTTACTGTCAATGTTATTATTATTAATATCATTATCATCATCAACATTATTTTCATTGATATTATTGTAATTGTTATTGTTATTATTATCATTATTATCATGATCATTTTCATTATTACTTTTATTACTATTGCTATTATCATTACGATCATCATCATTGTTATCATCATTATCATCATTATAAGTATTATTATTATCATTATCAGGATTGCTATCGGCATTGTTACTATTAGTATGGTTATCATTATCTTTATTATTATTATTATTATTATTATTATTATTATTATTATTATCTTTATCCTTAAGATTATCCTTAAATTTGATATTATTATCATTATCATTAATGTTATTATCATTTTTATCACTTCATCATCAATATTTTTTATCATTATCATTTCTATTACTAATAATAATTTTCATCATAATTATCATTATTCCCATTTACATTATTACATTTATCATCATCAATATTACTGTTACGAATATATTTTCCTCATCACTATTACTGTTATTTTCACTAATATCATTATCATCACCCTCAGTACCATAATGATCATTATAATTTTATTATGTTTATATAAATTTCTTATCATTGTCTTTCTTTTTGCCATTTTCTTTGTTTTTATTTTCTTCTTATTTATTTTGTTCGCGGTGTCACTCCATCAAGCTAAACGAATATTTCTCTTTTAGACTATAAATGGAATAGTTTGAGAAACTTCACAACTCAATTTAAGCTGAATATTCATTGTAATAATTACTAATCATTGTATTTTTTTTAGATAATATTTCCAAACTCTGCAAACTTTACCTATCGGAGAAAACGGAAAATGTGATGATAAATACAGAAACAGAGAAAATTGGATATGTACATACCTCAACAAAGACCTCGGTTTTACTGCAGACATACTGATAATTTCCTAGACTGTTTATAAATTGATTAAAGATTTACAGGCATTCTCCAAAATGCTCGAACATTATAAGACAGATTTCCAAAATGTATTGAGGACTTCCTACAAGATACAACTACGTATACATATTCCCATGAGCTATACGCGGGAAGAATTTTATACCACTTTCCTGCTCTCGGGTTTTACATAATCTCCTTTCCTTCTTTTGTCAAGTATTTTCCTCCTTTGCCGCCAGCATCAACAACCCTGACCGTGCACATGTAGCTAAGGATCGAATTCTGTTGAAAAGGCGTTGAATGTTATAAAGTTTATTGTATGTAGATTCACTTCTGACTTTATATTTGTTTTGGTGTATAAATGATTTTTAAAAAATGCGTACGTACTACCTGAAATCACGTTTTATTAGCGACCGATTGTTTTCTTCACTAATATCAGAGTATGAAGATTACCCGGATAATGCTGTCAAAAAGTTTTTGTTTTTGTCGCCCATTCACTTTAAATTTGTTTGTTTTATATTATTTGTATTATGATGTGATGCAGTGTATATATGTATATATATATATATATATATATATATATATATATATATATATATATATATATATATATATATATATATATATATATATATATATATATATATATATATACTGCAAATAACTCATCTACTCAATTTCACTTTTCCTCGATTAATACCATGTTAACCCTTTGAAATATATGCTTTGCAGGGTTTCAGTATATATTTGTAGACTTACGACTAGCAATTTTAGTCTATTTTATTTCATCTTTACATTTCACTAGCCTGTTCCATTGGTTTTACTTTGATTCGTTTTAGATGTCATTTTCTCTGAGTTAATTACAACAATGTAAAATTCAAAGAAAATGGACACATTCTCTGTCATACATATGTAGGGGACACTTAGTTAAGCCGATTTTTATCTAAAAAATGTTGAAACACTCTATCATTTATTTTGTCATACGTAGTATGAACGAAGATAACCTTACTCCCGTAATGAATTACTGTTCAGTTATGAAGCACATAAGCTGGGGGAGTTATTAATACACATCTTAAATTCAAATATTCTCCAGTCAAAACACGTATGGAGAGAGGGGGATAATATACAGTATATTCCTGACCATTGATTACTGTGCTTAGAATTCGGAGACAAAAAATACGCAATTTTTTTACTTTCCCGTAAGAAATGACCCTTTGTAAAATTCAGAATTGACATTTTGTTTCACATTGGCTGGTGCTACCTCTGGACTTCCTGGTATGATGAACCCGGAAATTATATCAGTATGTGCTTTTTACTTTAATCACCAAAACGATTCTAGGGTTCTTGTAGGGCATGAAACATTATAATTATTTATAATTATTGATTTACTAGCAACAGAAAGGAAGACAAGAATAACATATTATCCATGAACTTATTCCGTCCTAGACTGAATATACAATTACTAGAATAATACCTAGTATAAACTGATACATGGGGAAAGCTTTGAACACAATCCCTTAATTGTTAAGCTGTACCTTGCATGGGTTTATGATAATGAACTGTGCAGGATAAAGAATTGAAAAATCTAATGTTTACATTTGTTTATTAAGGCTGTATTTCTTTATCACAGAAGCTATATAAGAAACAGTACACAAAAATATTTATCACTTAAAAACTAATCAAATGGAATTTTATCTGCATACATCAGTAATGATGAATGTGACATAAATGATATGCTTGATAAAACTGATAAATTAAATAAAAATACAAAACACACACACACACACACACACACAAAAGAAACTAAACAAATTATCTAGAGTAAATGTTTCCAGTCATTTTCAATTATGTTTTCATTTGGAATGCATAATAGAATGCAGATTTTTCACACTTCACCTTAGAGTGCCTTGTGCCAAATGAAAGCAAATGTACAGCTCTTAAAATAATAATAATAATAAAAAAAAATAAAAAATATTATACAAATCCTTGGGGAAAGGACTAGGAACACATTTACTTAACAAGATTCTTAAAAAGAAGGAAATAAAATGCCCGAAATACATAAAACAAATCATAAAATGAAAAAAGTACACAAACTAATAAGTGGTAAATAACCTCCATATTAAGTTAAATATAAAACAAACACATTATCATGATGTAAAAATGTTATAATATTGATATTACCAATCAATGTATGATTCTGAAAGTTAACAATGTGAATCTGATCCATCATAACAAAAACTGATTTATATTAAAATCACTCAAAGTAAATTCAATTCACATGCATGTGCTTTACAAATGCTGCATATCATTCATACTCGAAGGATATGCTTAGGCAACTTTGGAAGATAATGGTACTGTTCCTCAGGTACAGACATCAAGAGTCGCTTTATGTAGCTTTTCAGGCGTGCATAGAGCATTGACCACGTAGGAATATATGGCATTCTCAAGATAGAACACACAGCACCAACATAAACTACAATAATTACCTCCTTAACAAAAGGCAAGGATTTTCCTGCCTGTGCCCAAGTATTTGTAACCCTTGTACAAACACTACTCCCCACTTTGGCAACAGACTGAGCTATGAAAGCTGTGTTTACTGGCCCCTGTGGTGCAAGTAAAGTTGCTATTAATGAAATTAGCCGTGCTCCTGCCATAAAGCCAGCACGCCATATATTGGCAACTAATCCTGTAGGTTTTGTATATGTAGGATCTAATACTACTTGAGGCAGCCGTGCTAAGCTCACCTGCTGCAATCGGAGAGCTACTAACTGCCCCGGAGATTTGTACTTGTTCAGACGAAGGGAGTATCTAGGTAAGCCAGATGACAAGGAGGCACCATCTACCAAAATCTGACGAGATTCTGAACACATAACAATTCCACGAAAAGCAACTCGCTGTCCACAGCCAGATTGAAGGTTGTGCTGAGTTTTTCTTTCATTAATAAAGCAATTGAAATCTGGAAACCCTTTCCTCATGCGAGTTAGAAATGCATTAGCCTGACTAGAAGATGGAGTCACATACAAGAAATCATCCACTGACCGTAGTATTATGCTATCACCTTTATTGAAGTTGACTAGATGTAAAGCACACATAGCTGAGTAATACAACTCACAAAGGGCACCAGACAAAGATCCACCTTGAGGGACACCACGATTTGCAAGTACACACTGCCTTTGTGTTACTTTGGCTACCTGGAGTGTTATTGTCTTCATCAGAGAGGGTGTCAATTGCCCTGTATGTACTTTTATAGGCTCACCACACTGGACAAGAGGATATCCTCCCTTCACAAGTGGACTTGTAGGCTGGTCAGTCTTGTCAAGCAGTATGTAGGATTTCTGTGATGGAGCTTTGCTGGAACACTGAAGAGCAGAATAGCATCCAAATTTTAAAATAGGTGGTAGGTTAGATATGCCTCTCTGAATCAACATCTTCAGAGTTTCATGATTAATAGATCCATATGCATCTTGCACATCAACTCTTACAAAATATAAGGGTTTGGACTCTCCTGTCAAATAAACCCTTTTAAAATAATTGGCCCAAGTACTATGTAAAGCTGATAGAGCTCTCACTCTCCAACTCCCACATTCATACACCTTTATCATTTCCCTTAGCATAAGACGACAGTGCAGTGCTGTTATTCTTGAGAGTCCGGCCATGCCTGCAGGAATAATTGGCCTTACGCCATGGGCTTTTGGTAGAAATCGAAGGCATGGAATGCTTTTCACAATTTTGACCCCTTTACAATTGTTCCGATCCTCAGTTTTTAATGCTCGTGCCTCAGAATGTGAAAGCAGGCTGCAGAAATTGCTCTTAAGTAACTTGCTGACTCCTTTGTTGTGAACACACTGCCAAACACGTTTTCGAAAAAATAATAACTGATTACGTCGCACTGCCGTTTCAGTAACATAAAAAAGAGCATGGATGACAGTCATAATCAGCCTTCTGAGGATCCAAAGCCAGACCTTGGCAATGACATAGGTGTAGTGGCAGAATCTTCTCAGCCTTAGTGCCCACCTGTAAATACAGAAGAACAATTCCTAGTATAAATTGATAAATTGGGAAAGAAAAAATCTATGAACACAATGT